GCGTTGACATTGATGTTGGAGACGCGCCTCTTGCTCCAGACCCTGGCTTAATCGAAGGGCTCGACCATCTGCTGCCTGGTGACGACGAAGACACTGACGATGTTGGGGGGCACGACTCTGCAGGGACTAACGATGGGATCGACGACGACGACGGCGTCGAAGACAAGGGCCCTGGGCCTGGGCCTAAACCCCCCCCCCAAGAAAAAGCCAAAGAAACAACCGCTTGATCCGCCACCGCCTCCCGACCCGCCTCCGCCCCCACCCCCGCTTCCACCCCCGCCGGACCCTCCTCCGCGGATCGATCGATGGTGGATGTCGCGGAAGAACAGGAAGTCAAAATGTGGCACGTGCGGCGAGGATATCCCTGCTTGGATCTACAAAGCGTGCTATCAACCGCATGCTAGTGATGTTGCGAATGTAGCAGATTGGAGCACGACGTTCTACAGGTACTATCACTTGGATGTTCCAGGATGCCTACCAAAGAAAGCAATACGGCCAGTAACACTTGATGATATCCGAGATGACGTCATGGTGAAAAAAGGCGAGAAGGCTGAAGACTTTGTGGACATTACTCGGGCTAGGAAGCTCACGCTGATAGCTGCTTATCAACCGTCGGGTAGCTCTGGGGGCGGCGCTGGCGGTGCAGGGCCCCGCCCCCCTGCTGGAGCCGCCGGGGAGGTGGCGCCTGGAGCTGCCCCCAGCGGCGCTGGGGCCCCTGCCGCCCCTGCCACGTGAGTGGCAGCCGAGCCAGGCTGGCCTCTGCCCTGGTCTGCTCTCTCCTTACCGTCCTTCGCCAACTCGTCCACCAGTTTGCTTCGATCTCGTCGTTTGTTATTCCGTTATTCCGCCGCCTCCCCTTCCCTCCTCCTCCCTCCTCCTCCCCATCCCCCCTCGTCCCCGTTTTCCTCCTCCTCCTCCTCATCCTCATCCTCATCCTCTCCCTCTTCCTCCTCCTCCTCCTCCTCCTCCTCCTCCTCCTCCTCCTTCTCCTCCTCCTCCTCCTCCCCCCCCCTCCCCCCGCCCCCCTGGGCCCTGGGCGCACTTGAGTTTACCCAGAGATGCCGATTTTGACCGCAGCCTGAAGGATAGAGGATTGGACGATTGGTCCAGATCATGTCAATGCCGCAATGCCCTTCTCTTCTCTTCGACTCTCGCACTCGGTCATTCACCGGCCCTGCGGGCCAGCCTTCGTTCGGGCCGTTGACCCTTTTCTTTTCTAATCTCATCTCCGACCGCGCCGCGGCTGCGAGCGACGGCAACCGCTCCTCGCCCCCCCGCCCACAGGCGGGAACTGCGCGGGCGGCGGCTGGGCGGCAGCTGCAGCCCACGCACGCGGCATCGCCGAGAGCCCATTCCAGCAAAGGGCGTCGCGGCGTTGCTTTTTCGCCGCGCCGCCCCCGCGGGAAGAGGATCAGCAGGACGACGAGGGGGAGAGGGGGAAGGGAGGGGGGCCCGAAGAAGGGGAATAGGCTATAGGGGAGGGGAGCAGAGAACGGGGGGAAGGGGAGTGGAGCGCGAAAGAGGCGGGGGGAGGGCGGGGAGAGGGCAGGGGAGAGAGAGGGAGAGAGAGAGAGAGAGAGAGAGATTGAGAGAGAGAGAGAGAAGAGGAGAGAGAGAGAGAGAGAGAGAGAGAGAGAGAGAGAGAGAGAGAGAGAGAGAGAGAGAGAGAGAGAGAGAGAGAGAGAGAGAGAGAGAGAGAGAGAGAGAAAGAGAGAGAGAGAGAGAGAGAGAGAAAAAGAGAGAGAGAGAGAGAGAGAGAGAGAGAGAGGGAGGGAGGGAGGGAGGAGCGGTGCCAATGCTCTGTACGGTCTACGCCTCCGCTCGCCAGATTCGTCGCGACACTCTACAGTGGGGGCGCTGGTTAAGGAATGGACCAACATGGGATGTGATGCTCAGAATGCCTCGAGCCCTGCAACATATGATTCCTTCTTCGGCGGGGATGCCCGCGGCCGATCCACGATTGCAGCTCCGGTGGCTCCTAGGCCCTGGATTCCTTATCCAAAGGTACCTTCCAATGCCAATGCCAATGATGCCCATTTTGCCAATGCTATACCATGCTTTCCTATCAACGCAATGTTGCCACATGCTATGGTGTGTATGTTTTTAGGTTCGCAACGCTCTGCTATGCCATGATACGTTGTGCTCTACACTGCTATACGCTGCTATGCTAGGCTATGTTTCTACGTTGCGGTCTTCGGAGGATTCGGCAAGACGCGAATATGCACCTTTCCTGTCAACGGCTGAACCGGCGGGGCGCTGACTAAGAGGTCCGAGGGGGGAACCGTTCATATTGGCAGGAAGGTCGTGCCCAATTGGATGCAACGTGCATGTCGTCCGTAGCCCATTTTGGGTCTCAGGCAGGTGCTTGGCGCTGATTGATCACCGACGGCATCCAGCGACTATGACGGTCGGGCGAGCATGCAAGCTCAGACTGCCGTCCTTCGAGGACTGCCCGGGCCAACTCTCGTGTCTCACGTGCATGCGTGCACCCGAACACACGACCCGAACACCATGATTCAGAAGTTTAGTCTCTTTGGCGCGTAATGGCGCAATGGTATGTAATATATAGTATCTATAGATGATGGCATGTAACATGTGTGTATGTGTGCGTGTGCGTGTGCGTTTGCGTGTGCGTGTGCGTGTGTGCACGTGTGTGTGTGTGTGTGTGTGCGCGTGCGCGTGTGCGTGTGCGTGTGCGTGTGCGTGTGCGCGTGTGTGTGTGTGTGTGTCTGTGTGTGTATGTGTGGGTGTTGGGGAGGGGGGTATGCTGGAAGGGGTGGGGGGGTTGGGCGGGGGGGGGATGGGTGGGTGCGTAGATGGGTGGGCGGATGGGTGGGTGGGCAGTGGTTTGCGCGTGTGTGCGTATGTGCGTGTCTATGTGCGTGGTGTGTGTGCGTGTGGTGGTGGGTGGCTGGGTGGCCGTGTGTGTTGGTGTGTGTTGGTGTGTGTTGGTGTGTGTGTGTGTGCGTGTGTGTGTGTGTGTGTGCGTGCGTGCGTGCGTGCGTGCGCGCGTGCGCGCGTGCGTGCGTGCGCGCGCGCGCGCGACGTGCTCGCGCGGCGGCGGCGGGGGGGGGGGCAGAGCGCCTGCGAGGGGGCGGCGGCCTTCGGAAGGCCACAGGAGCGGTGCGCGTCAGGAAGGTGGGCTCTCAGCGAGAGGGGTCTTTTCCATGGTTGGGCCCTGTCAGCGAGGGCCCGTGACGGGGGGGTTAAGTTCAGACCGGGGTCGGGGGAGGGTGGGGCGGGGGACAGGGAGGGGGGCGAGGCGGGCAAACTTGGCGTTTTGCGTCCCCCGCCGTGTTCGTCGCGCCTGACAGCGTATGTTGCGCCAGTCGCATACCTTAACATATTCGGAAACGCTGGTAATTTAAATTATTTTAAATTATAGTTTTAAAAGCCATTATCATTTTCCATATTTTTTATTGATTTTTTGGCCCCGGGGATTCGCGGGGATTCCCGGGGTCGGGCCCTGTGCGCCATCTGTGTGAAAACACAGGGTCGGAGCGTGGGCCCCGGGGATTCCCGGGGATTCCCGGGGATTCCCCGGGGAGTCTAAAAAATCAACTTTTTATTCGGCTCGTTTGAAAAATATAGAAAAGTAGCGTTATCTAAAATACACCGCCCCCCCCTCCCCCTGCCCCCCCCCCGCTCGCCCGCCCCGCCCCGCCGCTGCGCGCGCGCGCGCGCGCGCCCCCGCACGCTCACGCAACCTGCGAGGGTGCCCCGACATGGGGAAAAAACCTTGCGCGGCCTCTGCCCTGTCGGTCCACGAACCGCGCATGGGGCACGTGGCAGCGAAGCTGAGATCCATTCGGGCTTTTGCTACAGAGGCCTTCGACGGAGCTTCCCCACGTGGTCACGACCTGTGAGATGGGGGTGCGCCAGTGACGGGGCGGGCCACACGGACTTCGCCATGGGCCATGGACCTTTCCGAGGCGGCCCCGAGACGGCCAGAGATGGGACCGCCGAATTTGTCTAAAGCGCTGAGATGACTCAGCAAGTCGTTCTGGGACTGGCCCGAGACGGCCCCATGACGCTGCAACTCCGAGGACCCATCCGATGTGCAGCCTAATCTTGATTTGGCTTTGAGCGCTAGCTTAAACCCTCGGAGCCAGTCTCGCGCCAAATGCGGCAATGGCGAGGGAAGCAAGAATTCTTCCAGAGTCGGGCATAATTCTTTCAGAACAGAGCAAAGAGAGATGGCCTAAGAAGGCCAAGGGATGCAAGATGGAAAACACACACACACACGCACACACACACACACACACACACGCCGAGGGGCGCCCCCAGCGGCGGCCAGAGACTTGACCACTCAGAGTTCCCGCCCCAGGCCCGCCCCGGCCGCCGCCGGGGCCGCCGCTGGGGGCGCCCCTCGGCGTGTGTGTGTGTGTGTGTGTGTGTGTATGTGTGTGCGTGCGTGCGTGCGTGCGTGCGTGCGTGTGTGTGTGTCGATGTTACAGTTGTCCGCGGTGGTCATGGAGTTGGCGGAGAGAGGAGAGGGCACGGTGAGGAGGTGGAGGAGAGGGGGGAGGAGGAGGAGGAGGAGGTGGAGGAGGAGAATGAGGAGGATGAGGAGGGATGAGGAGGATGAGGAGGAGGGAGTGGAGGAGGAAGAGCTGAACCCATTTCGGGCCCTTCGAAGGGCCCGCTTTGGATTCAAAGTGAATGGGGGGGAGGAGGAGGAGGAGGAGGAGGAGGAGGAGGAGGAGGAGGAGGAGGAGGAGGAGGAGGAGGATGTGGAGAAGGATAGGGGATAAGGGGTTGGCTATGAGGCTATGAGCTTTCACCTGGGGCCCTCAAATTGTCGCCCTCGCTTTTTATCGGGCCCCAGTTGCCCTTCTCGGGCGCATGCCCTGATCTCATATGTCGTGAACCCATGGCCCATTGCCCAATTGCCAATTGCCATTCAGCTCCGTAGGGTTACCCTTGTGCCCGTTTTGAGCCCCCAGATGTAAGTTGCCTCGCCAGGGCTTGGACGACCCTGTCGACGGTGCTCGCTCGAGGTCTCCACGTGGCGTTGGAGAGGTTGACAAAGATGTGTTCGATGAGTTCAACCCGCTCAGGCAGGCGATCGAATTGAGCCATCGTCAGATGCCAGCCCACATAGAACAAGAATACGTGAGAGGATTGCGGCTCTTCAAAAGTAACGTGGCGAACAACGGGGAGCTGCCG